TTGTATTACATCTAGTTAAAACATGTAAACATGTTGAACCTCAAACGTTCTCAGCTTAAGCCGCTCGTTGTAACTGTAGAGGGCAGCACCAAATGTTTGACAACAAATATTGTAGGCTAATCTGCTCGGGAAAATATCTTGCTTTCATTAAAAATGCTGTGCTTTGAAGAATATATAACACTAATTATAATCAAAGTTATATGGTCTGCACACTATGCTAACCATTTGTTTTAACAATATTTTCAGCAAATTCGCCAAAAAAACCAAAATAAACTTAACATGGTATGTAAACTCTTGAATCATAAATATGCTCAAATAATGAAATGCTACATCATAATAAACAGACCATATTCACTTGATATCTCCCATCAATTCACACTCAGATTGCTGCATTATAGTCACAATACGGGATCATCAAATGTGTTGCCACAAATTCTTGAGGTTTTTTGTAGCTCAAACGCTATACGCTGAACTCTCTTCGTATGAATAATGGTACTCAAAATGAGTATGCACGGAAGAAAAATAAAGGCGTTTGAGAAATCCTCCACCATTCAATCGTGATATCACAGGGGAATTGTTCTTCTTTAAAACATATGGTGTGCCAATGACATTGGAACACTTACCACAAAATTATTGTTTTACATTAAAATTGTGAAATGCGAATAGTCGAATATTCAACACTTTGCATATTTCCAATTGTATATCAGAAAATATTTGAATAGCAGTGGATATCGGAAGACAGGCTGCGAAGAGGTGGAATTGGAGCAATAACAAGCGCGATCACTGGAAATCTAGTCGATACTGATCACCTTTTCCCAACATCCTCAACAGCTTCAACGTAACGCACAACAACGTATCTGACTTATCTGTGTTGCTGAAAACTTAGGTATCAAAATAGAAAATCTATATTTCTAAATACAGAAAATTTTCATTTAACTTATCCCACCATTGTTGACTGAAACATGTACTAATGAAAGATGGAATTCCATATCAATATTTCACAACTAATAACTCATATATTTAATCTCGGTTCTAATTGTCATTGCTAAAAATAAAATAGTCCTACAATTAAATCAAAATAAATTAGTAACGGAAAGTTGAATTGTAAAATAAAGTTACAAAAAATGTCAAGAATATATTTTGACGCATATTGCTCACTAGATCAAAAATTAAAAAACCCTACAAATATCTACGAAACTCATCAATCAATCTATATATCGCATTTACTGTTTTGCCATTTGACACCTAACTATGACTATAATCACAAAGAATTTATTTGCATTTAATATGCAATTATTATTTCATATATTCACATCTTTGATCTAATTCCTTCACCGGATATAACTTCGTGAAGAAAGCCATATAGACGCTTTTATACAGCTTGATAATGAAATCGTCGGATAGAATCCATTCTCTGAATACAGTAAGTGCCAAGAATGTCTTCTCGTTTTCCAACAATTCTTTTTTTATTGTTAAGTAGATTCCAGATGGTTATACTCTGAATTAGTGAAATCACTTTTACTTTCTGGCCAACTAGAGCACTAATTAGACTGACTAGAATGCAGTGAACGCTGAATGAGCAAACAACACATTCAGGTAGGTATGAAATAGATTTAGAAGAGAAAAACAAACACAAAAAATTCAACTTAAAAGGCAAGCATTTAAAGAAAGAAAAACTAAACTTAGTATCATATTGCTTACATTACTTAACTTAGAAAAAAACATATATATGATTAAATTAAAGATAATTAAATGAGAATACATTTATAGTATGCAACACAGAATATACTGCAGAATATAGGTCAAACAGAGAAAGCCGAAGAAAGATGAAAAAGAAATTGTAGTAGTAGTAGTAGTAGTAGTAGTCTATTAATAAACCATGAATAACATTAGAAAATAAATTGGAATGCTTTTATGAAATTATGTTTACCAGTTGAATTTACAGGTTGAAGATAATTCATTTTATTTTAATGCCTGCGTACAATGGAATGCAATTTTGTTTGCATAAAGTACTATCAAGTTGCAGGCTGAGTATGCACTGATTGCAATGGAATAATGGAAGTTGACAGGTAGGTAGATCGGATTGTGTGGGTGAATGTATGTTTCAGATCTTACTGTTCTAAGGGGATGAAATGAGGCAGTTCGACATCTTCAACTATAGGCAGTCAGACCATATTGGTTTTTTTTTTCAGATGTATCACCCAGTCACACAGTAATTATCTGCTCCTCCCTCAGTCAACTGTGACTTCCGGCGGTGGTTGTTTCTTTTTTAGACAGTTGCAGTATTTTCATTTTTCTTCAAACAAACTTGGCTTGCTTGGTGTTCATTATAGTCTATAAACACATTTAATCTCTCTTCATGAAGCTCTGTTGACTGTGTTTGATTTTTATATGTTAACATTATTAATTTTTGACCATTTGCATATTGAATTTTTCTATAATCTCAAGAAATTTTCAGGAACTTTCCGTTATACCTAATAATAGTAAAACTTCACTTTGAGTACTAGCTATTGCATACCTCAATCCAAATAGCTTTAAATGAACAATAGACAAGACTCTATAACATACAGTTAAGAAATTATGATCTAATCGCTCTACAAAACGATAAGAGGAAGAATTTATGCTCCTCGGAAAGATGTTGAAAAGCAACGGTTACTCTCAAATGTTCATTAACAAATGCCAAGATAAGAATGAAGATGTCACTAGCCAGAGAATATCCGGCAACTAAGCTGGTTCTTGTTAGTCGAACAACTTGCTCTTTTGAGGAGTTCAAAATCAACAGATATCTTTCTCTTGTTAACTCCAACTGCATATACACATTTGCGTGTAACTGTGAGGGCATTAGTGTTGGAAAAACAGAAAGAAGTGCATACCTCCTATTTTCTGCAAACATAACAAAAGGCTTATGTATAAATGGTTCAAATGCTTAGAAGAGTGCCGTTGCCAGGCATCTCCTTGACAGGGGTCGTGAGGCAAAGTTCATAAGACTGTTCAAAATTATCAATTGGTAAAAGAGTTCAATTCTCCTTATGTCTGCCGAAGGATTCTCCATTAAGCATCTGAAACCCGCTTTGCGTACGGAAAGAGGCTGTTATCTGTCTTTCTTGGCACTGGTAACTGGATATTTTCACCCTCACTTCCATCTGATTTCGTGGTGCCGAAACTTTCAATTATGTATGATCATTACTGTTCGGGACAAAATGTTCATTATTACATATATTATGATTGTGTGCATATATTGATTGATATTTGATATATGGGAAAACTTGGACATTGTAGTATAGTGGATCTCCATTATAAATAAATTTTTATTTCAATAAAATAACACATTGTTGTACTGTCGTTTCGAGTACAAATTACTGCTCAATGAATGGCATGATTATTATGTGATATTGATAATATTATGAGCAATAAGTTGTAATTGAAATATGAAATATCACTGAATTCTCAAAATAAAAGTTTTATCGGTATCGACTGGCTTTTGTCTAAAGAGGAACTCTGTGCAAGTATGTTTAAACTGTTTCGGTAAATATACTTGATAATGACTTCGGTTTGTGAGCAGCTGATGAGAAGCCAAGGAAATGAATCACCAATGAATTCTGTAAACCTGTTGTTCTTGCTTCCGATTGCGTAATAACTACTGGTTAATTCACTATGTACACTATCAGTTGAGCATCATAATTTGCTCTTGGATATTGTAAGAGTTTTAGCTTAGATAAAACAGCCTGTGTAATAAAGTGAGAGGAACATATATAATCAGCCAAATAAATATGAAACTAAATACTCTCTGAACCGAGATTTTTTCAGTTGATCTTCAATTTGACTTTTCATCCATAATGCATCGTACATTTATGGCGGATAGCTTGCCATGCATCCAAAGTAAAAGAACACTTCACAAGTTTTAGGTTTGACGATGGATTGATATCATGTAGTGAAGACCTGAAGAACATCAGGCGGTATTGAACAGCTGTTTTATCGACGTAGTTTGGGACGCATCAGAAGTACGTACCAACTAGTGTTTGAGTGCAGGAATCTCAGATTTTAAAACATGCTTGTAGACCATTCAACTTTTGGGGCCCGATTAAATTTGTGAACATGCGAATTCTAACCCTTATGGATTGGTGATTTAAACGTAACTGGTACCAGCCAGTGTTATCCAAAGCAAGTATTTGTCTTGGTTGGTAGACCCAACTACTCAGGAGTTATCACTAGAAATCACAACAAGCATATCAGTTCTGAAGGTGGTAGATAGTGAGAATCAGAATAACTTACAGGATTTAGTTTATAAGAATTTCATTTAATTCATGTTTCACCACAGATTGATATCAAACAGAGAAACATTGATAACCAGCATCAACGGAAAGCATCTACCGTGTTCCGTGCTAAAATCAAGAATCAGTTGAAGACAGAATTCATGCAGTGGTCATTGACTAGGATCTTTGTGGCTTGGTGGTCTACAAGTTTGCTCTGTAAACAGGAGATCCTGGTTACAAACTCAAATGGGGTAGTACTGGCAATCAGCCACAGACTTAGGACAGGAAACAGATGTCCACTATTCCTTAGTGTTTTCCGATGGTCCTCTAACTGTTGTCTATCCATAGTGAAATTTTCAGTGAACCGAATTACTCTCTACAAACTAATTCTTGAAAAACCCATGAGATTTGAAATATGTATCAGTCTGTTTTTATTTTGAGAAAGGATTGGATGATTCGTCTTCACATGGATGGTGACTATAGACAGCAACAGCAACCGTAAATCAATATATTGTTGTTGTTTTCTGTAACCAATTTTCTACTGACTGATTTTATATGCTACATAGTATGCTGTGTTACTTGCCAAATATAGCTGTACTTTTAGCTAGGTGAACACAAAATGAGATACACATATGTACACTAATTACCTTGATAGTGTGTTTTCATGTATAACTATAAAAAGGCTATATGTAAGAGATTCAGGCGTAAAATTATTTTGCAGTAGATAACACTGAAAGCATACACTGTTGAGAGAATTTAATCATGCGAAATTTATTAATACAGGCATTACTCAGCTTTTTACTCCTGTTATCGAACAACAATGCATCTTATTCTAATAAAGCAATTGATGATTGTAAGTTGATTATTAATTCTTTATTATAACTTTTCAAAATATTACCCTTTTGCATTTTGTAGGTTTAGGTTTGGAACAAAATTTCCTCAAGTTTATTTAAAATAGTTCATTTCCCATCACTAGAAAGTTTTATAGATGAATTTTACCGTAGATTTCATTATGATAAGAAATAGGAAGATCACTGATCAGCTGAATGGGTATTTCTTTCTAGCCCGAATGTGCGTGAAGCCGCTGGTTTACAGTGGGACTACACTAGAGGCTTGACTGAAGTGAGAACGCCCAGGATTGTTGATTCTAAGTCAGTGACTGAATGATTGACACACCAGCCACGTGAACTGATAGGGTGGATAATGTAGAGGAGTCCTTTACAACGGAGAAATATGCGCTTTTCTATAATGCTCTGAACTGATGTTAGTTCTACCATCAAATTAATGAGAAGCGCCAAGTACAAAACCTGAAAACTGAATATTTCTATTTTGCTAATAATTATGTTATTTAATGTAAATAAATTCCCTGGATATCTTTAAATGTGTATGTGGAAGAGCACGATTTTCTCTCCTGAATAAAGTCGTGTTCAACATAACTCCATTTACACGACAAATGTGAATATCGAATCATCAAAGTAACAACAGGGAATATCAATCTAAAACAAACTAACGGAAAGTTGTGTCACACTTAAATTCTACAGCATTTCCTGTTATTGAATTCATTTCGAACACTTCAAGTTAAACTCCAAGCTATGAGAGAGGTTAAATTTTTAATCCTTGACCTATGAAAAACTTCTTGGTTAGTAAAATTAACACAGATATAATCAAAATAAAAGCACCTTGTGTTCACCACAGTCTTCGCTATAGTATGTGCAGTGTGTTACTGGCTATATTGACTTACCATTCTTTTCTGAAAAAGCTTATTTCCCGATATGTATTAAAACGAGCAACAATTCGTAATAAAGCGGGATATAATAATTCAATATAATAATTCCATTTGTATTTGCTGAAAGAACTTCCTCGCGAATCCAAGGTTGTGAAATATCTCTGTGTTTTGATTTCAGATTTATTCTGTGAAGACCATGGAGAAGGTAATACTGTGGTGTTTTGCAGGTTAACAGCATGCTTCACAGTCTTCATGACATGTCCTTTGAACCAGAGCTATTTCTCACTCACTCCCTCACTCAGTGACAATAACTGACGTCAATGATTTCGTCATTTTTTTCATTTCGTGTGTACGTGGTGAGGTCTTTGGTGTTTTCTGTGAAGCAACTATTCAGTTTAGTTTCAATGTGAAAGAAGTTGCTTCAGAATTACCGCCCAGTCCCGCAATAAATTCCACTGGTGGTACGGGCTCTCAAAAAGTTTTATTCAATGAGACGTACTCACTTGCACAGTGTCATACCTTATTTAAATATTCCACATGATCTGAGTCAGTTCTATTAAGAATTGTATGTCATGAGTTGTCATCATTAGATAGGTTTATGTTGTTTTATGGTGTGCACTCTTATTCTCATTAGGAATGAGTGATTTGATTTGCAATTTAGAGTTTAGTATACGCTTATTGGTTTTGAATTCTTCGAAGAAAAATTTCGTGTTGTCCGATGATTCATGCAATTATTGTACGCATGGAGAGGCATGATATGACAAGACCGAGTGTGGGTTTCTTCTAGTTATAGTGAATTTCAGTCCTTTTATTCGCACTTCACGCAATGAAGTTACACCATAAGCATGTAGTAATTTATTCAGTTAGATTTCCCTTCGTTACCACGACAGGCGTACTGGTAGTTACAAAGTCAACAGAAAATATGCGTGGGAGCATTTTGAAAATCCAGGATACAATTGATTGGTTAGGAAAATAAGAATTACAGAAAGTAAGATTCACTGCGTGGGGGGAATTTCAGGCAGGCCATTGATTTGGGCGAACCACTACACTTGATGATCACTATTTATGCTGATCCCTGTGTGATTTCCCCTTTATGCCAACTTGTTTCCTCAGTCAGTGGAACATTTAGATGTTTGTGATTGGTGTTCTTTTTCTTAATAGCAACCACTTGAATCTCATTTGACTCACTGTCTTCCATTTTATTTATTTTATTACTTACTGTAAGAGTTAGCTACAGTTTTTTACAGCGATCTTTTCTGCCAAACAATAGGCTTTTATGCTGACAGAATATTAATGCTTATTGGAGACGGTCTCGTGGATTATCTCCTTATGCTTTAAAAATTGTATGTTTGATTCTAAATGCTGCAGTGGAGTGCTGGCTTTATTTATGCTTTTTAGATTTCTAATCTGTTGTCCATTTTACAGCATGATATTTTCTGTCTGTAGTTTAGTTCTCGTGACTTGTCAAAACATTTTGTGGTGTACGCGTCACCTTTACTTGCGAACGCAATAAGCGTTAGCTTATAGTGGCCACAGGTGACAGATTTTCTGCGTTTATGTGAATAATAGTTGTAAGGACATTCAGATGTATTCAACTGATTGTCTGTTGTAAATATGAAACTTCGATTTTCGTCGGACTACCACATACATTGATATCATTGCTGTATGCTGAAAATCGTTCATTTGTGGGGCAAATTTCACCGAAACTCAGAACAGCATCATTGTATTTCTGACAAATCAATAATGCCATGATTATTTTTGGAAATTGAGTAAGCAGGAGCATTGATACGTCTAAGCAGTTGAATGCATTGTGAGATGAATGTAACTTCCGATTAGGTTTATTTTTGTCATCAGTTTGTGGACTTCAGAAATAATTGAATCCGCGAACTATCTGATTTCTTACATCACATCGTCTTCAGCAAGAAGCGATTACTCCACATTCTATTTCATCATACTGGAGACATTTTTTGGAAGGGTTTACTTCGTAAATTATAAAGTGGTATTTAAATAACTCGAGGGAAACATTTTTCTCTATTTCAGATGATCTGAATTCAACACTAGATGCATACGCAGATTCTTACCATCAAGTTTTGAATTATAAGTGTAGGTGTTTATTTCAATGAAAACTATTTTATGATTGTTACTTCACCCTAGACTGTTCTGTAACGATCAGTGTTCATTTCCTTCTAATACTCATATCGCTTACCTTGAGTCGTAGGCAGCTAATCAACAAATTTGATCACTGACACTACTGACTAACCTTTAAAAAACTTCATTTTTCAACTCCTCGCCTCCACTGAAGTTCAAAGAGATATATTTCTGATGTTAGCAGATGTATGTAATGCCACCTATTTGTTTTACCTTGCAGATCCTTATTGTAAAGCAGACCAAGAAAATTGGTGCTTCGACATGAGTGATAGTGCTTTGTTCATTTCAGGAAACTTGACAATCTCCAGGAGAATAGTTTGCATCTATGTGGATTTATGGGTCTATGTGGACGGAGATGAGTTGAATAGCAACTGGAAGGTAATGTCGATGAGACTGAAAAGCTTAATCACTTGGCACTTGGTTACCAGTTGATTGTGCGAGAAATATTTACATCTATCCAAAGGTGTGTTGACAATGCACGGTTGGCAGCCACATTTCATGACTGATTATATACACAAAGAGAGAAAGTCTGATTTCATGTTGTTTAGACGTCAAGATATAATCTTTCAGGACATTAAGTCAAGCGGATATATAATCCACATACTCTACACTTATTTCCACCCATTTGTTTGTTTTAGTTCTCATGATTGAGCTTCAGACATTCGTAGATCCCCAGAATGTGGAAGAAACAATAAAACCTGGTGAGCAATTTTATTAAGATCTCTACATAGCTGCCTATAAATATCAGTCTGAAATATATGGTCAGATCTTTTTTCAGTTGACAGGTTATATTAAATTTCACGCATTTTGCAGATATTACTTATTCTTATGAATCAAAGGTGAACACTTGTGTTCTCTTCGAGGATGATAGACTAACTCGTTTGTTTTTTATCATGTGATGAAAATGGAATGTACCTCCTGGTGTGTGCATTGTACTAGAACAACAGTGACTGATCCTGATGCTTGATATAACGCCTGTCCAGTGTGTAGCACGAAAACTTTTGCAGAGACCCACGCACCACCCTACCCTTACTGCTGCGCGAAATCTCGCTGCTGCTTTGAATTACATCTCTGAAACCTATGATCTCACTTATGGGTGTAGTGGAAGATTCTCTAAGTAAATAGAATATTGATGAGAGCAATTGAGACTGTAAAGGGGGTCTGAGGTTTATGTTGTCTGCTGCTGTCCTAGGTACTCTTAACCTGTTTTTCAGATTGTCATTACCGTTATTCTTTTGAGTACGCGGTGGAAAAAAGGATATCAGCTGCACATCTCAATTACATCCTCCTCTCTAAAGTCCTTTGTGGCTGGCTCCATAACTGTCTAACAAACTCTATTTCCGGCTCACAGAGTCTCCATCACGTCACTATCATACCACACCTTACCTCATCATACCTCCTTCTCGTTCCACTCAATGAAATGGCCTTTGATATCAGTTTGCATTCTTTTCAACGCATGCTCCACCTACCTTCATTTCAGTTGTCACATTTGTTGGGAATAAGGTTCATGATTGGTTTGTCGCCAGACGTCCTTGTCGCTAATATTTTCGCTTCCTTGCCTTCAGTACTAGTGCATCATATTCAGATACCGTCAAAAGTGTTCAGCTGCTTGTTGTTAATGCTTTGTCAACACGATAAGCCTCTGAATCACGTAGAAGCATTGGTTTAACATCAGCCTTTCAGACCAAGAACTTATTCCATATACTGGATGGAATAATCTCGTCTACTGATTTGAAAGCTGTGAAATTCTGTCTTGGCTTTCTGACCTCAACTGGTTGCAACGTCCTCTCCCTTGCCGTCATGTGTAGTTGAAATGATGATGCCCTGATAAGTATAGGAAATGACTCCCTTCACATTTCCGCCGTTAACACTGGTTGGTTGGTAAGTTGAGCTCATCACCTGTTTATGCTCTATGCTCAACTGGAAACGTGTCTTTGTTGGGTGCGTCTTCTCCCAACGTGTTCATCTTCACATGCGGAACTTCGAGTCTGTGTGATATTACACATAAACCGTCGGCTTAGTTCAACCTTTTTTGACTGCTTTTTGCACCAACGTACGACCATCCTACTGCTGCTCACGGTCTTTTACACGATGCAGTCGACCATAACTAGTAGTATCATCGGCAACCAGCCTCACTGAGCTTTCCGTTGTGAATCTCTTTGCGCTTGTCATATTCAATCATTCGTTCGAGGCTCCCTACTCCGTACTTGCAAATGCTGTCCACAGTATTTTCAAAGTCTATGAGTTTGAGGTAGATATTTGGTTAAAATCCTGTGCTCTCTTCTAAAATAAAGTGAGGCTTTGCGATTTGATCTGCATGTGAGTCGCTTTTCGTGAATACAGCTTGTTACTGGGGGATTTAAGTATTCATAGCATCATTCAGGCTCTCCAGTATAAAATAAGCTATTGTTTTGCTTGGATTTGGCAGAAGCATGACTAAAGTCGCTCTTCTTTGCTAGTTTGACAAGGTCGCCTATCCTTCTGATCAGCATGTAACCTTTCTTTATCGAAAGCCTTATGCATCAGTGGCGTGACTATATCTATATATATATATTCGTTGGAATTCCATCTGATTCTGCCGCCTTTCAGGCTTACAGTAACATTGTGGTGTTCGAAGTGTCTGCCTTTGTGAGGGGTCGCGATTCACAGATAGCACTGTGGCTGTTGTTGACGGTATTTCTAGACGATTTGCATTAGGTGGTCTATTTAAGTGTTCAAATCGTTTCTCCACTATTCCAACTGACATCCCTCCACCATGATTTCATTTATGTTGTTTGCTTCTAGGATACTGACGCGGTGAAGTGATGAAGTATTCTGAGGTCTCTTTTAACCTGAAACATATTCTGCTTCATTCGCAAATATGCCCGTCTGATTCTCTCCTCAATTTTATGTTCAGAATGCTTAATCAACCCATTCCCGATATTGAGATGAGGATTATCTGAAATTTGGTGTGTATGACTTCTGACATATGTGTCATTTCGTGTCTGTTTCGCATTGATAACTGCAGTCAACGACTGGTTGAAGGTATAGTATTACGCGAAGGGTCAACCATTCGCTTGTTTTCACTCACAACATCTAGATACACATAAAGTAGCTTTCTCTTCTTGATGGTTCCATTTTCGCATTCTGATGTTGTTATTTGTGTTCGTGTACATTAATACTTGCAGTTGTCTGTAGAATTCTCCCCTCTCGCCTCGGTTCACGTCAATTTTCGAAGGATGGCACCGGAATCCATTTTCTTTTAATTGTGTGTAAGTTGTGTGTCAGTGAGTGAATGGTCCCGTATTCAAACCGGAACGTCTAAAAGAGATTGTCTTTGTTGGAGGAAAGTGGGACACTAAAGTGCTACCGATATCTACAAAGGGAAATCATTGTACTCGGGCGATATTAGAATGTGATGCATAATGGAGCATAATTACGAAAATGCAGTCGAAGTAAACTCACAAGTGAGCACAAACGTGCAAACGCATGACAGGAAAATGAATAAAAAAAGTACTAGACGAATGAGTAGAATAACATTTGAGCATATGAACCGTAAGATGGATATTAATTGGTTTACAGAATTCCTGGTTCATTCTATCAAAACTCATATATCTTAGTGCATACTTCTTCAGTAATATTAACAGTAACTAGCCTTTCCATGCATGGCATATTCCCTGAAAATTGCAAATAGGAAATAAGAAATATACGCTGGTCGAAATTCTCTCAACAAATAACTTGTTTCAACCAACATTGCTGCATGCACTAATTTTGTGTTTTTTCACTTTTAACAGAAATTCTGAGACTTGAACATTTATATCAAAGTAAATGGGCGAAAGAATTTCTGGAATGTAAGTCCTGTCATGCACGAACTAGATTCCATTATGTTCGTGAGTCGAAATGTGTGTTCATTAGATGCATGCGTTTTCACTGAAATTAAACGGAATTGATTATGTTATATATGACCAAACCAAGTTCACATTTAACGGTTTGAATTAAAATGAATCGCAGTGCTATTGGAGATGACCATAGCAATTCAACTAATCCACAAATAAATCATCAAAACCAGTACTTAACCGAGTGTTCTCTAGGTTTCACTATCACAGATAATTCTCTCAGAAAGCAGTCTGCAATATATTATGGAGAAACGAGTTGAGGGATGAATTTCATATACACATTTTGCAAAGTATTCCAGTACACATCTTTCCAATACGCATAGCGTTATATACTGAATTCCAACATAAAATGTAACTATATTTGATCGTGTGTAGAATGAATGCTGTTGATTCACCTTTCAATAGTCTTTTCAAAGCAAAATTAATGTGGTCTGACAGAGGAGCTTTGTGACTCCTCAAATCAGTTGCCTTGCTGTACTTTTCATATCTGACAAACCCTCAGTCAACATTTCATGGTTTATTACTGTCCCATTCTTACTATGCTTCCGAGTATAAGTAAATAATTTCCCAATAATTACCTGTAATTTTACAGCAATCGGTGCAGAAGATAGGAAGCTCGTGAATCTTTATAACGGTAGGTTATTTCATCATAAAATATTAAACAGAGTACACGTAACAAAATGATTTTGTATCTGAAGACAAAACTGTCTTCTTATTGTTTGTGGAATGAACGTCAGCTAGAAATCATTTCGTGTGACAGATGATACAGGAGATGTTCATATTCCTTTATAGTTGACAAGGCTAAGAAATGAAGCCGTTATCGCCCACTTATACGAATGCGATCTAGTCCATTTAATGAAGCATTTTAAAATTGTTCGTCAATTTAATGACTAGTGACGCTGTATTCCATAGTGATAAAACTTCCTCCATCATCCACATTCTCTACATCCACATCCTCTTCAGTATAACAGTGTCCAATACATACATGATACAATGAAACAGCATAAATCATCGACATTATTCGAATATAGTCTATAGTTCATACATGTCAAGTACATGTACATGACTTGGAAAGTTTGATTGTGTATTTCTACTTTCCTTTCATCAAATGTCGAGTGGTCAAATAAATCCACAGTTGTTCAGTTACATTGTGAAGTTACTACTGTTATTCGTTCTCTATCTTCTTGGATAAACCATGGAGAAGCCGGTACCCAACGATGTTTTGAATGTTTTAAACCCGATCAGTACCGTCGGGTTACCATAGATTGTACTAGATAGCGCTGTAATAACCTGAAATGATTCAGTGAACATTCCCTTGAGAGGTATTTTGCTTGCAGCATAATCAAACGCCTGTTGAATGAGATGCATCAGGGTATGTGACACTTAGCAGTGTTAGTAAGGCAAACAATTCACTTCATGTTACATGCTGCCAAAAGTCTCCACAAATTCGATGAGGACTTTGACTACCGTTTGACAGCCGTTGTAGTCTGTTTGATGGTGAATCACATTTAGGCAATCAGATCCAAGCATGATTTTCCTTTCTTCAACTCAAACCGATCCCAGCGCCAACATTCATCTTTTATATCTGTTGAGAGTGGTGTATTCCACTGTTCTACCTAGAAATAAATTTTGGATGATTTTGAAGGTTTGTTACTTTTTGAAATGTCATCTGTTTATAAACGAACTTAATCCACATGTTCATACTACCACACTGTACAAATATACACTGCAGATTCTTGGGTATTTGAGGAATTAAACATGTGCCAAACAATGCTTCTCTCTCTCTGTAGATAAATACAGGAAGGCGTTTGAAGTAGATATTGCTCTTCAGAGCAAAAGTTTTGGTAGGATTGATTTTTCTTAAATAAAATTTGTAATACTACTTAATCTAAAATTATTTGGTACGCTGTAATTAAGTGACCACTTCAGTAAAAAATGTATACAACATTTTCAACTGGTGTTTCATGTCAAGTCATGTATCCAATTTACAATTAGACTTGCGTTTCAGCCATATCAATCACACTTCTATACCAAAACATTTTTGAGCGAAAATCCCGGAGGATAAATCAGGTCAATGTTAGTACATTTCTTAACGAAGTAGACTGTTCTCTTATTCGTTCCCTACGGTTTTTTATCACTAAGATCCAGGGTCACGACAAATCACATTACAGTGATATTCAGAAGACCTCCAGTTTATCTCTCTATTGAATAATGACATTATCGTTTCAAATGATGATGATGATTTTCATAGTTTTTATATATGTAGCCATATTGTTACAACAGAAGACAAGGACCAAGCAACAGATCGTTTATTAAGGAAATCAACACATATTTGTAGATTTTCATGTACATTATTATAGAGTATTATTAGCAGACAAATACAGCCTTCTGATTGGTTGTTTCTCACTGAAAATTAATCTTTCGTTTCTTTGTGGCTATTTCTTGAATTTCAAATTATCTATCTGCTGACTGTATCTACCTACGCAAAGTCTGTTGTAGTTGGTTGTTGAATCAGTTTTTGTTCATATTTTTCTCACGACTAATATTGAGGACGTAAACGTAAATTACTACCTGTCAATTTGGTTATCAGTCAGCTCTCACCATAATATTGGTTCCTACTCTTCCACAGAAAAGTGTTCACATTCACAAGGCCTAATGCAACGCTTAACTAAATTCACTGGGTGATATATGATATTATGATGAAATCTATTGGATGCCTACAACTGGGTCATTCTATGAAATCTAGATTGATTACCACTGTCATCATGTTGGAGGAACATTTCATAGGTCAAATAATCATATCTTAAAAAGCTACCTAGTGAATTTTCATTTATTCCTTTAGCTAATATGAGATTATACAATATAGTGAAAACCAGTATTTCAAGTAAATGGGAAAAAAGAAAAAATCTTGATATTGCAGAAGGTAATGTTTGCATGATTCTATTATTTAGGAAGGCAGTAGGTTATTTGATATTTTATGAGAAAATAAATATTCTTCTGTACTTAGGCGAAGTGTGCAAAGCCACAGAAATCTTCACATTCTTGCATAAGACTTACCGCAACACATCGAGACGGCGATCTTTTTTCTTAAACGGCTCACTCACGTGTATCAATTCTGACTAAGCAAGGAAGAGAATGCGATACATCATTTAATGACAGTCTTAAATTAAATCCAGTATGAATTGGTGGCATCTAAGGAGATCACGCCATTCACTGGTTTGCCTCAGTGGTTTGTGTCCAAGAACTTGTGTATTTTGAGGCCTCTTCGATGTTCACAATTTTCTCATCAGCACTGATATTCACACGTGATAAAAAATGATAAGAAAATCTGTTCGCTGATGCGCTATCTAAAATACTGGAGAGTAGTTAAGAGAATCAGCGATCGTAGGCAAACATCATAAATGTATTCACTTAGTCATATTTTGTCATTAGAATCCGTCGAAAAACGACTACTTGCCATCGATGTGTTAGTGAGAGAACACATACTAGATGCCCTGGTAACATTTCCTAATAAGTAAGCTAGTTAACTGTAATAGTGTCATTTGAATTGACGACATCTTTGAATAAATTGATTATGATAGTGATGGATTCATGATATACTTGGATGTCGAATTACAGTGTTATGTATCAATTGCAGGTAAACTTTTTGCGGAAACATCAGGCAATTCGAAAAAAGACGAAGGTTGGTTTTGTTTTACCTTTGAAATTCATCTTCGTAACTTATCAGCTGTGCTGAAATATCTTTCTTGATTTTGTGAATAGTTGTTTCTCTCATGTCATTAATATGCATATTCACAATTCCACTGAAATCTAGTGATATTTATTCGTAACAAGCCGTGTCTGAACATCCTTCATGAAGATCAGATTGAGAAAGCAGTTGATTGTTCTACCGAATTATCGAGTTGCTTAAATATGTGGAATAGCTGTGTGCACACATCCAAACAGTCTTGCTGCCGGAATTCATTTAGCATCAGTGAATTTAATACTTACACATAACACACCTGCGTCACAATATCGAACTCTAGTTAGGTGGACTTTGGTCGAGACTCTATTCACTGAGAGATCGTCTTGAAGAGAAACATGTGGTGAAACCTCCGAAAATAAACACTGTTGCTCACATTTTATCATCAAAATGTACAAAGTGTATTGTGTGGTTTCATTATTATTTCGTGCGAAAAGTGTGTGTATGTGTGTGAATATCCATGCCTTGCATACTATGGTTAACTCAGAAATAATGGACAGAAAAATATTCACGTAGTCAAATAACAGTGTAACGGTAGAAGAAAAGAGACTGAGTAAAGCAACGCTTATTCGGAAATCGGTATCTCCAAAGTGCCAAATTATGTACAACTTATCTTCAAACCACCATTTGCACGGATCTTACGTGCTGGGCTACTTCTCTCCTTTATATTGTATTTCTTTGTACTTCTAGTAAGTCCCCCATGGCCTATCTAGACGATGAATCATTTGGTTTCTTTCACGTCAAATCTATCTCCCCGCTATTCGATGTTTTTATTCTGATGAACGTCTCTTCATATTCTACTTATAAATCTTATCAGTAGCAAGTGCCACGTCAGTCCTTAACATGTAGAGACTCTTCAAAATGTAGCATATCTTTACAAATACAATTTGTAACATGAGACACCATTGACAAGTTTTTCATCCAATGATTTTACAAATTATTGTAAAAAACGTTTTATACTCTATACAAACGATTATTGTTCTATGACGGACAAAGTCAAGCCAACATTGAAGATGGGCACAAACGCGATATAAATGCAGCTTACGCCTAGTGAAGGCATTTGCTTTACTGATGTCAGTAAGTACTCAAAATATCATGTGGTAAGTTGGACATTATCAACAGGATAACCATGTATTTTGACAGTCAGTACCAATTGCGTTAATATGATCATTATACGTTGAAGAATACACAATGAAACATTTCGTCATTTTCAATATTGTGAAATTATAGTCCAAACTGATGTGATGAAGAGGGATTTGATGGAAGTGGAGAACGCAGTGAATGCAATCAAAGGTAAAATGATTCTGTAAATTTGTATTGTACACTACTTTCACGAAGGATAGATTGTTAGTATGAAAACTCACCCGTCATTGTGTTTATAGTCAGTCGTTAAGTGCCCTATTTACTCATCAGTAAGCCACATAATAACTAAGGTATACTAGATATCCGTTTCACTAGCAGTACAATAACTTCTCAGAAACATTAGGAAGGCACGTTTGACCAGAAATGAGTCAGTAATCCTTTGCCCCTTGTACGAGATAGTGGTCTGAGCCAACGTCTGCTCCTCTTCTTACTTTTGTGTCCAGTAAGCTGAGTCTCCGCATCCTTGAGCAGAACTGAGATGAAGTCAATTTGGATTTTGGTTTGCCCATCTGGTGAAATCCATGTAGCCTTGTGGATATTCGTGTGCTTGTATACGCTGCCATCAATCAATAGTTGGCTGAAGGCGCAGAATTCGGCGAAGAGGTCTCCATTTTCATTCATTTCTTCGAGAGCTTCTCCACCCATGATGAGTTCCTTTTCTGTGTTTTCCGGTCTCAGTTTGGCCATCATGTCCCTTATTAGTATTTTAATGTCGCCAGCTGGAGTATTGTCCATTGTTGCCTGCAGCTGTCTGTAGAATTCTTCTTTCTTTTCGGGGTCTGCGTTGTTTGTGTGTGCATATCATTGTATAATTGACACTTTCCTGCCTTTGGAGTTGAATCTGGCGGTCATTATCCTTGACGAGATCGCCTCCCGTTGCATCAAGGCCTCCGTTGCCGTTGGTGAAATCACGATAGCCACGCTTTCGATATGCGTGTGGTTATCTTCTGGGTGACCGGAGTAGATCACTGACTCACCTATTGACAATTTGGTAGGTCCATTGCCGTTGCATCTGCATTCACGTATTCCTAGTTTTGGGATCCCGTATCTTTTCATCTCGTTTTGCGATCTCGGCAGCTTTGCCGATCTCGTACATAGTGCAGACGTTCCATATCCTCACATAGACTTTTTTGGCGCAAAGAGATTCATCGTACTGAAGTAGCAATTCGTTTAGATAAAGTTTAGAGAGAAGCGACCTTGTGGGTTGATCCCCTTAAAATCGGTAAACAAGGAATAAAACAATCAGAACAAAACCAACAAAAAGAAAATAATGAACAGCAAAAAGGGCAACAAGCGACAACAACAATACAATACAACAATATACAATACAGTTAAGCACAGTTAACTAAAATTATACCAAAAAAATCCAACAATATATACAATTACAGATATGAATTAGTGTTAAAAATTCACAAAATGCCAAGTAGTTAGTTATACGTATCAGTAGTCAACAAGATTTTATCCACAGGTTAAGTGTTTGACAGTGCAATAATTTTCAAATCTTCGTGGTCAAAAAAACCAGAGAAATGAGAGTTTTATGTAACTAAGCAATTGTAGCGCACCAATCGAAAAGCGCAAATACAGCGTACTAATCGAAAAGCTTGTCAAGGTCGTTTTTTTCTTTTGTTTTCTTAGCTGACCTTCAAGGGCTGAGAACCGCAGCAGTCAACGCATCTAATGCATACAGAAAAAATTTAAGTGAGTGAATATATTTATCAATTTGATCAGTGTACTTTAAACCGCGAGGAAGCTATGGCCTGATCTAATACGATTCACCACTGGATGAACAGCGCGATGGTTATATATGAAAAGTAGACTCGTTTAATCAATCGTCAACATACAGACACCTGACGAACATACTTCTCCACAACTATTCAATAATCTCGACTCAACTGTACAAATGACATGAAGCCAAGATCGAATAAGACCTTTCTTTACAAGCGGGCGTCTTCTCAAAATATTGGTGTAATAATTATAGTGAAGATGACACTGGCTGTAGAAGTGGATTGATTACACTGTGTTAGAATATAATTCCATATTATATTCGCCCAGCCAATATAACACACATTGTCATAGTATTCGTAACTGGATTACTTTTCTAGGGCAATTTATCCCTCATAATCAAATCATATGATTGTATTATTATTATTACTTAGATTATTTGCGACTATTGATGAAGGGAATACCAACAAGTGGGGAGGGAACGGTTTTATCATGCTTAAAATATTTGGAGGTTGAAAATATGTTCATCACAAGCCCTATGCGTATCCACTTTGATTGAAAAAAATGACATTTCTACAACAAGAAACTTCAGAACTTCACGTTTACCAGAGAATAAGACAATGATATCATTGATATAAGAATAAAACATGTGCACTGTGGTAGAGTGTAATTCCATTATGGGTAAATTTTGTTTGATAAAGTCTCACAGCGTTATAAAGTAATGTTTAATGATGACGTTTCGAGCACAATTTATTGCTCATAATCATATCAAGGTAATTACACAGTTAATAAATTAAAACCAGAGGACGTCATTCCTAACATAGAAGCAGCACTAAACTCAATAGATAAGACTACAGCAGAAGAGGTTCGAGCACAATGTGCATTAACCCTAAAAAATCAAAAGAAAACAAAATCAAACTTAACAAAACCGGAAAGGGAAGCTTTAATTAGTCTTAAACAGGATAAAAACATTGTCATCGCAAAAGCTGACAAAGGAAACGCCACCGTAGTTTTGGATAAATCTGACTACATCAAAAAAGTTACTGAACATATTCAAACGGGTCCATATGAGGAAATTAAGAAGCCTGTAGATACAATAATGAATAAGGTTAAGAAATCTACAGCGGAACTAATACGCAGAATGAAGCCATCACTGGGTGAGTCTAAATGGTTTAATTTAATGCCTAAAACTAATAATGCTAGTAGAATATATGGTACTATAAAAATACATAAGCCAGGTTACCCCATAAGACCAATAGTAGATTTTAGAAATACCCCCACGTATGAATTATCAAAACACTTAGCTCTAATACTTTGTCCCATTAGAAATCGTTCAAAATCTAGATTAACTAATTCATATGAGATGAAAATAAAATAAATGACATTCAACTAGCGAATGATGAAACAATGGTTAGTTTTGATATAACTAGTCTTTATACTAATATACCAGTTAATATGGCCTTAGAAGCAGTTAAAAAAGAATTAACTGCGGATCCGGAACTCAGTCATAGGACAAAGTTGTCCATTGAAGAAATTATTTTAGGGATTCAGTTATGCCTCACATCTACTATCTTTAAGTTCCAAGGCAAAATATATAGACAAACAGAAGGTGTAGCAATGGGATCACCAATATCCCCTATCGTAGCGGACATATTTATGGACAGCTGGGAAAATAGTGCCCTCAATACATTTAACCCTACTCCGAAAATATGGTGGAGATATGTGGATGACACTTTCACAGTGTTAAAAACAGAACACATCTCTAGCTTCTTGACACATATAAACTCACAAGTTGAGGGAATAAAATTCACATTTGAATCAGAAAATGAACAAGGAGAATTAGCTATGTTAGATTGTAAGATAAAAAGAATAGAAGAAGGCAAACTACACACTAGTGTTTATAGAAAACCAACGCATTCTAATAGATATTTAGACTTTAATTCGTCTCATCCTTTAACTGTTAAGGCAGGCTTAGTTAAATGTTTAACAAACCGAGCAGTGGCACTAAGTAGCACAAAAAAAGATCTAAATGATGAATTAAAACAGATAGAAGAAGCGTTGGTGTTGAATAACTATCCTATAAAATTCATTAGGAAGATCACTAAAGGCCAAAAACAAAATAAAAATAATTGTGAAACTAGTAATAATAACATAAATAAGAAAGAATATAAGTCATCCACAGTTATACCATATAAAGAGGGGACATCTGAGACACTACGTAGGATTCTGAATAAAATAGGAATTAGGGTGGCATTTAAACCTACAAACTCACTCAGGGACAAGCTCTGTAGGTTAAAGGACCCAGTTGACCCAATTAGACAAAATAATATTATTTACAAAATACCATGCAATGACTGTGAGGTCAACTACATAGGTCAAACTAGTAGGTCAGGGGTAGTCAGATTGTCAGAGCATAAGAATTTAGCTAAGGTAAGAATGGTTGACCCCGAGAAGATAAGTAATTTAGAAAAAAGCTCAGCAATTGCAATGCATGCGCTAACACACAACCACACAATAGGGTGGGAGAGGGTTAAAATTCTAAAAAGTAATCTAGGTAGGTGGAGAGAGAGGTTGATTACTGAATCCTTGTTCATCGAGTCTACACCCAACACATGCAATAGGAATGACTCGTCACTCATACCTGAAATATGGAAAATACTATTACCAATCAAATCAAGTGAAAATCAAGAGAAAAACAATGGAACTATATAAATGAATTTAGGAAGTCGTGTGATTACCTTGATATGATTATGAGCAATAAATTGTGCTCGAAACGTCATCAGTAAACATTACTGTATAACGCTGTGAGACTTTATCAAACAAAATTTACCCACAATGGAAGACAATGATAATTGAATAACAGTGACTAGTTCTATTATTTCATTATTTTGCAACTAATGAAAAAAATAGATCATCAGTAAGGCATCATCGAATAAGAGCGAACAAATATCAACAGAATATTACATGATATTTTGAACTGACAGTGAATCGTTCTTCAAGATCTCTAGTTTGAAGACCATGTGAAGTCGAAGACGACAGACAAATCAGACGGTATATAAATGTAGGAATTTACTCCCTACCTGAAAATAAAATGAGCACAACTTACATGCGCATATCGCATTGAACATTGAATGTATTTGTATGAGGTATTTCCTTTCACTTTCGTCAAGTCCATATGCAACTGTGAGTCTGACAACAAGTCATTATTTCTTTTCAGAAACACTGAATAATACTGAAATTATGGAAGCGTATAAGACGGCTCGTTACAATTTTGCTGATAGCACAGGTAATTTTAAATAGTTGTTCAATTTGATTACATGTGATATTTCATAGTGACGAATACACTTCTTAGTGAATTTCATTTTCGTAAAAGAAACAAAAGTAGCCTTTATGGCTAATGACGTGTATATTACTAAGTCGTCGTATTCATTTATACAAAACTCAAAAATCATTGGTATAATTAACACACGACAGCGTCAAATTTACTGCTGATATAGAGTTAATTTCATATTATCGACACAGACAAAACTACACCGATAAAGCATCAGTGACTTCATCCATGCATTATGCAATAAAGCCATAACAATTTATGGTATAATACATGGTACTAATGCATCACTTACAATCTATTTACTGTTTTAGACGGACTACGTGACATAATAAAACTATTGGAAATGAAGAGGATTGAATTTTTAAAGTGTAAGTTGAAATATTGAAATGATTTAGAGATGCCTAGTTCAAACCCAGGAATTTAGAATCAACTGGATCCTCGATCAAATGAAGAAAGATGCCGAGCAGTATTGATGAGGTTAGTTCCTACTTAGATCCTAAGGGCATTTTAAATTACTAATTACCTGCATAACTGAATATGAACTTGAAGATGCATTTCTCCATTACCTGGAATCAGCTACATGAATGATTGAGAAATAAATGACACTGAACCTCTTTGTTCGCTAACATTTACTTATCAGTTAACAAACAAATAATCGGTAAGCTACTGGGCTGTTTGGTCACATGATCACAGTCGGCCGCTGTACGCAATATCAGGGTTGTAACAACTATTGAGAACATCTTTAATTTAAGTGGTACTTTGCATAGCTCATTTCCTGTGGAGGAATTGTAACTTGGAATCAACCAGGTAATGTACACACCTAGTATTTGTTTCAATATTCACTAGAAGCATTGCCTTAACACTATTGTCATTGTTAGTTAGATGATAATTGGGGAAAGTAATTTCTGCTACTCAAGATGCATGTCTTTTTTGACCTCAGTCTCACTCTTTCTCCGGTTTTATTTTGTTTCAGCTGCAGAAAAGAGAGTTCGATTTCAAAGGATTTCAAGCATTGTTTGCTTCTCTTTTTTGTTATTTGATGACTTCGTCGAAAAGAAAATTTTATTCTCTACAACCGCCTATTCATTAATTCTTTTTGTTTAATTAAATATAACATTTTCCTTTGTGAGATTTTGCTTCATTGGGCGTTTTCTGTCTTTGAAGTGGAATAAGTGCCATGCGAATGTTGAAGCTAATTACAACAAATAGGCTCCCTGATTGTGCACGACTTTAGAATCATTCTTCTTGCTGACAGAGTGTATTGTTTGAAGTATGAACGAACAATTGGGTGATATAGTATTGTTTTATAGTTAACAGAATACAAGTGTCCTTGGGGTGAGAAAATGCGATAACCACAAAATATACATACAAACACACATTAACAAAGTAGACACTGTTGTGAGGGCTGAACGATAATATCTAATGTGAAAATAGAGACTAAATTGTAAATTGTTATAAGATGTTACAGAATTGGTAGGCTTAGTGTATAATCATAAAGGTTGACAAAAATTAAGGGTAACAATGAGGTGAAATAAACTGGGTGGAGAAATGGATAACAAAGACGTGATATCACAAAATGGTAATAATGATAATAATAGTACGAAAAATTATGATCCTGGTGACCATATAGTGGGCCAGGGTAGACAAGGAGAGTGAATAAGTTTTCTTCTGTACACACAGGTCTGGTCTCTCCCTATGAATCTCTAAAGCCTCAGCTATGGCTAGGAGGCATGATCGTTTGTCTTTGGGGAGGTTGTTCGGTACTCAATACCCAGCTGTAAATGACTCATCTACTTTTATGCTGTGTTCTGTATCCATTAGATGAGACAGAATTGCACTATTTAATGATTTGATTTCTCTTTTCCCAAGCCAAACATGAATATGTTCACGAGTGTGGAGAGATAAATTCCTTTGGGTACGACCTACACCAACAACACACCCATTTCTTACTACGCTCATTTTCCTATTAACAACTGGCTTTCTGTGCTTCTGACTTGTAAGCACGTTGCACAACACTATCACTCCTACATGTGCCTCCTACGGTTTTACTCCGAAGACTTAATCAGTCTCCGAATGATGCTGATTCACCCATCGTCACCTCACGAAATACAATGATGATGGTGGTGATGTATGAAAGATGTGAGCGAAGTGAGAGATAGAGAGAGGCAGGAAGGTATGAATATTTGTTGACTCTGTAATATCGGACGTATTGTGAAGCTTTTTAAAGTCGGATTCGATTAAATGAATGTGTCAGTGGAATTCTGTTTCTGAGTAAATTTGTTTTGATGATGTTGACATATACGTAGAAATGTTTTGAGTTCTCTCTGGCTATGGAGTCGATTTTTGTGGCATGAACGTTAGCCACACTGCTATATTCCTCTATTTACTTCTGAATTTATGACATATTTGCAAACTAATCACAGAGAAAATCAGCTAAATCCTCGACACTTTAGTCAACTCATTGCTTCTTTCTCATTCAGAGACTCGGTGTGTCACACGGAACAGCCTGGTGCAGTATATAATCAACAACTATTATCTTAATTCGATATTAAAGATCAGATATCTAACCAGAAATGATCGGAGGTAACGAACACTGGTGACGAATAATCTGGAAACCTGTATTCCAAGAAATTAGAAGATAATTGAGATAGATAGGACATACACTGAGAAGTTTGCTGAGTAACAGCATGCACCATATACTCGTGTGGATTCCTAAACCGAAACTCTGAGTCAGATGTCCAAGTGACATTGAAGAGTTTATGTGACGAGAAATTTGAAGCTAATTTGCAGACTTGTGGCCATCTAAACAAGACTACATAGAACAAAGTGAAATCGAATTTGCTGTTGAGACGATGGCAGTAATAATCATACTAATGTATTATCACTGGGTTTCTATTCAGTAATTCTACATTTATCTTCAATCGTTTGGTTTATTGTTTGAGGGACCTCCCACAAAGTGTTCATTTGGGGACTCTTATATTCACATTTTTCACCAGTAAATCACGTATACACCGTAGGTGTGTCTAAAGCCATGGAGATGGCAAACTATCAACACTCGAGGTTTGGTGCTATTAAGTTTGTGAAGAAATGGTCTGAATGAATTGGATTCGAGTTTGTCAGGAACTAGTCCCCGTGACACATATAAATCTTGAGAAACTGTCATAGACTCTTATTTCGCTGATAGACGCCTAATAATTAGCAAAAATTCTCATGATCCTTGTAGCTTAACTAGCTGATGTAGTTTCATATGTTTATAAGTGGCCGTTGAGTAATAAAGCTTCTGGCATATTCCTTATCAATATGCATGTCTTGGAAATCAAACGATAAAGAAACCAATTCCTTTCAAGGTTAACTTCGATTAGGAATCGCAAATGATTTTGAATGCATTGGTGCATGATATTCTATGTCTGAGAATGTTCTAGGTAAAAACAGAAAATCACTAGGTAACATCACATTCCAGGCCATCGCTACTGGGGAAGCCGAATGGGAAACAGGGAGTTGATCGTCATTGAGAGGGTGACATGGAGGAGGTGACGTGAATAAGAGATGAAAGCAGGTGGGCAAACGCGCAGCCAGGTTAAAAAGTTGCAGAGAACCGAGTGTAATAGAGACGTGCGGCTGAAGATATGTGTTCCTCTAAGAATGAAAGGAAACAGTGATTATAATAATAATCGCTCATAAGATTCTGTTGCGTAAGCAGTGACTTGTCTCTAGTGGTTAACTATGGTGACTGGGTTCTGTCAGATGTTTGTTCCTCAAGTAGGCTGATTTCCTTGACTTCCAGTTCGAAAAAAAATAAGAAGAAGAACCAGTTGGAAATATCAAACAAATTATGGATAGTGCACAGATTTGTATTGTATTGTGTATTATGTACCCATTAGAATCCAGTAGAAAGCTAATTCATATTGTTCGATTACAGGGTAGTGACAGGCGCTTACAGGTATAAAGGATCTAATGAGTATACCTCTTGAATAAAGTATGTTTATCTTTCAACAGTTTACACATAATGATAAGTTTTGTTATTGGTAATATTTCGAGCAAAATTACTGCCCGTATTCACACCACTGTTGGAATTGTTTTATTCACACATTTATTATTTGTATTCATTTATATAGTTCATTATAATTTTTTTGCTCATTCATGTTTCTATGCTTTGAGGATTATATTTCACGTTCATTCATGTTTGTGTATTCAGAATTATATTCCAAGTTATAAATTATTTAAATTAATCCCAGCGTGTTAAGAAAATCAAAATAAGATTTTTCTGAACGTTTCGCCGTGTATGCCACAACTTCTTCAGCAGATTTATTCGGATTATAATTAATCATCAAAATATATAGTCAAAAATTTTTTTACATAAAATGAAGTCAGTTTATTTGAAGGTCATTTCTCCATGAACATTTTTTTACCAATAGAAGTATGTAAGCTGTCCTCACATATATGTGTAATGACTAATGTCAAATTGTTGTTGTGTTTACTCTTCTATAGTTGACTTGTAAAGATTAGATTTGTATGCGTGTGTGTATGTATGTTATTTGTCATATGGAAAATATTGTATTTACCAATTTGAATGTACGTGTGGACACACATACATAGGGAGGACTCATCGATCTCTGCAAGTAAGGGCTTCAGAGCATATTCCAAAATGGCTCCAGAAAGAAATGGAATCATCAGAACCTATTAACGGTGAGAACAGGAGACCTAGCTCTTCTATTGCGTGTTTTTTAATGGTCGAATTGTTCCCCATATTTGACTTTCAAGTGGCTCTATACGCAAGTTCCTTGTTGTTTCAACAATATATATTTGCCTTAAACGTATCTCTTGCATTCTGTGATATTCTCCATTCCATAAAATGACAAGTCTGCGTATAACTGATACTATTTAAGTGTTTGCTATCCACCTCTTTATAGTTTCGAAGATTTGTAAACAAGCATCGATTCCGAAATTTCAACCAGAGCGTAAATATATTCTGTTTACCTCACAAGCATTTTGTTTTTGAACTATGCACAGATCCACACTTGTTGGCAACAGTTTCTTGAGATTAATCATTTAAAACTGGCTTATCATGTCAGCATTCTATTCAGTTTGCAGGGCATGATCGCACAATTCCTCAGAATGAAACACCTGAGAATGCCATGAAAATATCTTCTGATGTATCCATGTTTGAATGTTGTGTAATATGGCGTCACATTTATTCATGCGCAGCTTAACTGAAAGTGAAGTCATAGCCAGCATGGAAATTCAGAACTCATTAATGCAAAAGAATGGTGGAAAGTGGTATGGTGAGATTAAAGTAAATTCGATCAGTGCAAAGCCAAATAATTTATTTCAACGACTTGTAATTGCCACTTTAAGTAGAAGGACGTAACGAAATCTCGACGGGCTGAAAACTTCACAGTACCATATTTTGCATGAGAGGGGTATTATTATTATTGCTCCTTTGGGTTCCTAGTGGAACATAGGGCTTCAACTGCACGCCTCCATTTGCTTCTGTCTTCTGCTGTACTTTTAACCTCATCCATGTTAGTCCATACTCTTTCAACTCCTCTTCACACGATCTCCTTCATGTCGCCCTTGCACGTCCCACTCGCCGCTTCTATTTTTGGGTTCCACTCGAGGGTTTGATGCGCAATGTCACCCAGCGGTCCCCTGAGCAAGTGACCGATCCATCTCCACTTTCTCTTGCATATTTTTTGGTTGGCGATTGGTTCTTATTTTGTTTGTTCCCAGTCATAGTTTCTTGTTGGTGATTCTTCCAGGCCCAGTCAACTGATCTTCAGTAGACAGTTCTTTATAAAGCTCCGCAACAGGCTGTTGAAAATATTGTTTGTGACCCGCCCGCCAAGTTTCTGATCCGAATAGAAGAACTGACTTGACGTTTGTATTGAAAATCCGAATTTTGTTGTTGATGGTGAGTGACGAAGATTTCCAGATGGGTTTCAGGTTGAGGAATGTGTTTCTCGCCTTCCCGATTCTCGATTTGACATCCTCGTCTGTTCTTCCTGTAGTTGAGGAAATGCTTCCTAGATAAGTGAATGCAGTAACCTCTTACAAATCCCCATGGTTGATGTTGATTGTCGCTGGATGTTGCTGTTGTTGTTGGCCGTCTTTTCTATGTTCACCCGGAGT